TTGCTAATGCAAGAAGCTTGTGTAGGGAAATGGAGGGGCTAGGGATATTTGCATACAAGGAGCACTACGACATATTTGGGATTTCTAAGACTTGGTGGGATGAGACACTTGATTGGGCTACTTATTTAAATAGATATACATTATTTAGAAAGACTAGAAAATATATATAGAAATGGTGGGTATGTCTTTATATTAAACCTGATTTAATTCCTATAAAATATATATATTATTTGTAAAGAATGCACTTCAAATAAATGACTAATGGAACCAAACTTTTATAAGTGGAACACAGCAAAACATCACAAGTAAGATTATGTGGGCAAGAAAAGTCATATGAGTTTATTTACTAACATGGAATTAATAGGGTTATTCAGTGAGGTCCGAATGGCCCCATATCGAATTGTGCAAAACCATTTGTTCTGTACAAGGCCATTCAGAGTGGAAAATCAGCAGCCTGTTAGCTGCTAGTGCAAATAGTTTGGTTTGTTCAAATGGTATTTCAGCCATCTGCCAGTGTTCAGAACAAATTCAGGCTCAGATAGGAGTCTGCAACGTAAAATCCAGACATCGTTATTAAACAGTGCGAACAGAGACCTAATTTTCTGGCCAATCCATGTCAGCATCACCTGTGGGTTAGCTCCTCCCTCTCAGCTGATAGGACAGGAATCTAAATTTCAAATGATGGTATATAAGGAATCCACCTCCCCAGAATAAGCCGTCTTTTTTTCCTGTCCTCCAGCTGTTAGGCAGCACAACAGTTTTATTTCAAAGTTCACCTGCCATTAGTTTTTCATTATGGCATCCCTGGGTAGTTCAGCATTTCTCCCCATGGGAGAACCCAGACACAGCCCAAGCAGTCTGGGACTCCCTGAGTTAAATGGAAAAAATAATGCCAGGAAAACAAACTCATTTTCCTGGCACTGTAGCTTCCCCTTCTGTCAATGCCCCCTCCCGCGGCACTGAAGGTAGAACTTCTTCTGTCACTTACCTGGCTCTAGTGCCGATGTCCCTCGGTGCTGGCTCAGCTGCGCCCATGCTCCTCCCCTGTCGATGTCCGCTGAGGGGGGAGACCTAAAAGGCATGCGCAACACTGGCCACGCTCGCATTAGGATCTTCCCATATTATTCAAGCATTATTCAATGTTTTCCTATGGGGATTC